GGAATTAACAAGGAGAAAGAATTTCTCTGAAAAGGTATGAAAACCATAAAGAAATATGGGGCCAGCAGATGGCATAGTGGTTACATCACTGGACTCTCACATAGTTGCTGTATGAGTCCTGGACCCCGTGGCTTGAGGCTTACACCAGGCACATGTGCATGCATTCCCAAAATCCCGAGAAGAGCATGGAGAAGGGACTGGGGAATGGCCACCCTCCCTGGTGGGGTGATTTCTTACTTTTTATCTCTCTGTCTCTGTTTTCCCAGTGAGTTCACATGCTATAGCAAAAATAGCTCTCAAAAAAAGAAAAAAAAAAAAAAAAAAGAAATACTACACAGAAAGATTGTCAGTTTGACATCATAAGATCGTAAGCAGATGATCCCAATAATCCTAGATAGGAGTTCTGAACTAAACAAATATTTATGGAAATGCAATAGAGATATTTTAATATAGGCAATCTTTTCCATGAAAATGGGTTTATACCTTTAATGTGTCCAGCCCCTCAGGACATAACATGGATACCTTAGGTAGCCATTTTTCTAGCTAAATTGATCTACCCATTTTTTCTTTCCTTAACATTTACCAAAATGTTGATTTTTCTGTTTTTGCAGTGAAAATCTGCCAAGAATACGGTGCTGTGGATTAAGGGACTAGCTATATAGGTGACCCTGCTTGATGGGGAAAATGCATCAAGAATGTTTTCTCTCTACCTTGTGTTATTTGACTTGCAGTAATGGTGGAACAGATACCAACCAAAATAAAAAGAAAACATGAAGGCCAAGTGATTTTTTTTCTTTTTTTTGGAGAGGTTTTTGCTACAGGGCACATGCACTCACCAGAAAGACAGAGAGAGACAGAGAGACAGAAAGCGAGAAATCACCCCCCAGGGGAGACGGCCACGCTGCAATCCCTTCTCCTCCATTCTCCTCTCAGAATCTTGGGCACACACGCACACGCTCCCAGTGTGAGTTTAAGCCACCAGGTCTGGGACTCAAACCATGGTTGACTACATGAGAGTCCAGTGACATAGCCATTACACTATGCTGATTCTCCCAAAGTGATATTTTTTAACTGTCTTTTGTATTAGACACAAATATGGCTTAATAAACAGAACCTGGATAAACACAAGTGGGGACAAACTTGGGTTCCTGAGATGAGTAACTATTTTGCATGCACATTGATGGTCCCACCGGGTGGAGAGTAGAGTGTCTGAAGAGTGCAGCACAAGTGTAGCTTCAAACAAGGCTGGCACTAGGGGAACTGCATGCTGAAGTTCTCTGATGAGAGCAGAGGTATCTCACCTCTGTACTGAGCACATTATTTCATGTAACCTACATAACTTCTAAAAGAGAAATTGTTATTATTATCCCTAATAAAAATATTAAAACTGAAGTTCAGTGAAATAATTATTTCAAGCTCATGGTGTCAGAAAGAAATAAAGAAATATTTAGACCAGGTGTATTTGTCACCAATGTTCCATGATCATATCATTGCAAGATTCTGATTCTCTGAATAAATTGGAGGGAGTATTTTAGAAATCCAAATCAGTGCTGCCCCTACAATGGCCACTGGTCACATATGGCTAATCCAAACAGAAACGTGTCCTGAGCGTAAAATAACACCAGACATGAAAGACAATGAAATAAGAACATAGGAAAAAAGAATAATAATTTGGATGCTTTGGATAAGATAAAATATGCTATTGAAATGAATTCCACCTGTCCCTTTTTGTTTTGCTAATATTTATATTAACAAAATTAGAATTACATTTTGGTGTCTTTAATTGAGGGTCATATGGGAACCAGCAGTTAGCGTAAAGGCTATGTCACTGGACTCCCACGTAGTCAACTGCGGTTCACATCCCGGACCCGGTGGCTTAAAACTCACACCGGGCGCGTGTGCGTGCGTGCCCAAGATCCCAAGAGGAGAATGGAGGAGAAGGGATTGCAGCGTGACCAACCCCCCTGGGGGGTGATTTCTCGCTTTCTGTCTCTATGTCTCTCTCTCTCTGTCTGGCGAGCGCACGCACCCTATAACAAAAACCTCTCAAAAAAAAAAAAAAATTGAGGGTCATATTATATAGTAAGAGGTCTTCAAAAAGTTCATGGAAGAAGTGTATCATGAAAACCTCTTCAGGGATTTCCATTTTCCACCCTGTTTTTGAAGTCCTCTCATATTTCTGTTGGGCAGCATTGGAATCAGCACAACCTCTTCGTAGTTGCTAATAACCACACTAGGGGGAAGGACAGTGTGTTGGTTCTGGGATGGAATTAAAACACTAGTTCTCAATCAGACGCACTTTGCCCCACCGCTTCATGGTACATTTGACAATATCTGTACACATTTTTGATTGTCACAGTTAACGTGGGGGTACCGCTGTCATTTACTAGATGAGGCCAGGGATCTGCTAAATATCTCACAGTGCATGGGACAGCTACTACCACAGTTACCAGGCCCAAAATAGCAACAGTCCCATGGTAGAGAAACCCTGGATTAGGAACCCCAAGGTTCACAAGGGTTCACATAATCATGTGGATTCTCCATAATCTGAAGAATCAGGGTCTAAACAGGAAGGCAGGCAGGCAGGGATGTGATCATAAAGCATATGGAATTCAGTACGAGGCAAAGGTACATGTGTGAGGAATAGGCTTCAGAAACAAATCTATTGTCTATTGATCAAAACAGAGGCACAGTCTCATTCTAGAGCCACCCCCCTTTCACTATTATGTACACACTCATTCTTCCCAGAGTTCCTTGGAGTCAAGGATCAAAGAAGGACCAACCCTGTGGGTCATGCAGCTTTCAACTGTAGGAAGAAAGGCATGCAGAGACGTGGAGCCAGGCAGGGCCTGACAAACCTAACAAAAGAGATAAATTACATGATTTTTCCCACAGATTTTCCCATGTGAACTCTGGACAAAGTGTCAGTCTTAGCACTCGCTTATGTCAGAGCTCACAGAACAGTTTCTTCAACCAAATAATACAAATTGAACTTATGGAAAAAAAAGAATTGGTTGTGTGGATTAAACCAGCATTTTCCAGAGATGCTTTATTGGTTTCAATAGGCTTTTATTATACATTTTAGAACACATTTCAAGTCAAAGAGACAGCTAGGTTTTGTCATAGACTGAATTTTAGCAGCAGAATTTGAAATCTGTGATGTGTGCATATTAAACCATAGAGACCTTCACATCAGAGGATGAAATGATTAAATTCTTCCTCTGTTCCTGAGCTGCTGCAGCATGAGGAAGGGTGTGTATACTGTAAACAGTTTATTTTTAGCCTGGCCTTGATATGAAGTATTCTCTTTCAGTATGCTCTACAACAGATGTCTCTCTGTCTCTTGAGGTATTTGCCTATATCATTTTGGTCTGTATCTAAGAAATAGGGCCCTGGCACAGCATACCTGGGATCTAGGAGACCTTAATCACTGGAATCTCTGTGGACCCATCCACCACTCATTTCCTCACACTTGTCACTCCCACCTATGCTCATCTCTACACATACAGCCAGCTGGGAAACACACTCACAAAAGGTAGTTGGGTCACTCTGTTACCTTTGGAGAAAAATCTACTTTCTTAAAAAGAACCAAGAGGAATGCAGGTGTTTTAGTCCATGCAGGCTGCTATGACAAAATACACCCATTCCTCACTTAAAGACCTACCTATTTAATGACTCTTGGATAAGACTGACCAGTTCTCCAGCAAAGGGAATTCCCATTATCTTGTTCCTGAAGCTAATTAGTGTTCACTGCACAAAGTATTTGCGATCACACAAGATCGCATATTTCATTTTTAAATTTGTACTTTATTGTGCACCCATAGTAGAATTCAGAATAGACAAAAACAATTACAGATGTTTTAGTCCATGCAGGCTGCTACGACAAAATACACCCATTCCTCACTAAAGACCTACCTATTTAATGACTCTTGGATAAGACTGACCAGTTCTCCAGCAAAGGGAATTCCCATTATCTTGTTCCTGAAGCTAATTAGTGTTCACTACACAAAGTATTTGCCATCACACAAGATGGCATATTTCACTTTAAATTTGTACTTTATTGTGCACCCATAGTAGAATTCAGAATAGACAAAAACAATTACACCAGATTTATAATATTGTGTTGTGGTGTGTCTTGTCACTTTTTGGTGTTTATCTATTGTATGAATAAAATGATATTATTTTAGTGTGGCATTTTATGACACCTATTAAAAAATACATACTCCATGATGCCAGGACACAACATAGTCATCCACCTTTAAGGTCCTTATTTACCGACCAATTCACTTAATGGTCTAATCACAGGTTGTTAATTATGGAGTTCCTGTACTATAAACTGGGTGGCTTATAAACAACAGAAATTTATTTCTAACAGTTCTGGAGTCTGGGAAGACCAAGATCATGATGCCAGCAAATTCAGTGGCATCTAAAAACCTTCTTCATGGTTCACAAGAACAGTTGTGTCTTGTTTTGTTTTTTTTGTTTGTTTGGTTTTTTTTTTTGGTTTGTTTGTTTGTTTGTTTTTCTCCTGTGTTTTCACATGGCCCAGGAGTGAGTGAGCTCTCTGAGTATCCTTTATAAAGGTACCAATTCCACTCATGAGGGCTCAACCCTCATGACCTAATCACTTCTCAAAGATCATATTTTCAAATCATTGTATTAGGGGATAGGATTTAACATATGAAACTTGAAGGAACATAAACATTCAGCCTCTGGCAGCAGGGATTAAAGAGAAATCAAAAAAAAAAATGACAGCTATGGATTGGGTCTGAACTCTATTCTCACACTTGTAGTTAATTAATCTTGAGTAAGTAACAGAACTCACATCTGCCTCAATTATTCCATCATAAAGAAAGAACCATAAGGTCATAAGGGACCAGCAGTTGGCATACTGGCTATGTCACTGGACTCCCACTCGACCGCGGTTTGAGTCCCAGACCTGGTGGCTTAAACTCACGCCAGACGCATGTGCGTGTGTGCCCAAGGTCCCAAGAAGAGACTGGAGAAGAATGGATTGTGATGTGACCATTCCCCCTGGTGAGTGATTTCTTTCTTTCTGTCTCTCTTTCTAGCAAGTACATGTGCCCTATAGCAAAAAAGATCTCAGCAAGTACATGTGCCCTATAGAAAAAAAGATCTAAAAAAAAAAAAAAAAAAGGAATCATAAGATTGTAGACTTCTTGGGCTTAATGTGATATTAACAGAGAGTGCTATGTGTTCAAAATGTGGACTTGAGAGCCAGTAGCATTTTGGGCTCAAATTCTGGCTTTGCCACTGATATGCTGTATAACCTTACAAAGCTACTTAATATCACTTTATCTCTGAAACAGGGAAAATGGTAGCCCCTACCTACTAGGGTAGTGTGAAGACTGAGTTATTACAAGTAAGGCACCACCTTATGTTGTAGTTTCCTTTATCCCTATGCAGGTCGCAGAAAATATCGATATGGGGAATTAGTACTGGATTCAGAGGAGAGTCAGGATCAATGATCGTAGTGGTTTAGGAAAAAGTATCTGAATTTATTCATTTATTTACTGATTTATTGTTTTATTTTATTTCAGTTTGATTAAATAATCCACATTGAAATCTTAGTTTTGATTTATTGCCATCTGTATTGGTGAGTGTTCTTTAGAAAAACAGAACCAATAGGACAAATATATGTAAAAAAGAGATTTATTATAGGGATTATCTTGCATAATCACAAGGTAGAGAAGTCCTACAATAGGCTGTCTGCAAGCTGGAGAAACAGCTGGAAGACTCAGAAGCCAGGAAACCAATGGTGCAGCTTCAAGTCCAAGATCAAAAGGTCTGAGTACCCTCAGGGGGCTGCAGACCTGAACTTCCTCTGGCACAAGTTCAGATTCCAAAGCTAAAGGACTTGGATCTGTCTTGCCAGAGGAGCATGGAGACCAAGCGCTGATAGAAATTGAAGGCAGCCATGGACTAAGCTACAGAGCAGGGACAATGCAGGCAGATATGCAGGGAGCGGGTGTGAAACACTCAGATCACTTTAGAAAGAGGGATCCAGAGACTGGAAACAGATTTCTACACTTCCTCTCTAAGTCCCTCTCCTATTCCAGCTGACTGAATGGTATTTGCCCATATCCAAGACTGGTCTTCCTTTCAGTCCATTGATTTACATGCCATAGTGTCAGGCAACAGTCTCACAGACACAACTAGAAACAGCACTTTGTTAGTCATCCTTCAATTCAGTCAAGTTGAGCCCCCCAAACCAATCATTGCTCTACCCATGTGAGTTGAGGCTCTAAACTGGATTCAATCTGATTGAAATGAAATAAAGAAATGCATCAATTTCTGGGTACCCCTTAAACTACGTGATTCCACATTTACCCCAGAAATATGGGGCTGTGACAAGTTATCATGTATCAAATTATCTTCTATCCCAGTTTCTACTAAAATTATCCAGGTCCCTAGAAATAAAAAATAATCTATCATGAAGGAGTCAAACAAAGAGTAGTAGTATTAATGTTCTATTAATTAATAGCACTATAGAAGACCAAAGACAGAATACTGGAGGAAGTAGAAATCCATGAGAATCATGCCTTAGCAGAGAAGAGAATCAGCTAAAGACAGCAGATGATATTGCAGGAGCAGCATGAAACTCAGGTAGAGAGCAGTCATGGCCGCTTGATGAACCTTAGAAAGGTTGAAGAAGAGCTGCCTTGATGAGCAGAAGGCAAGAATGTTTGGTTTGATGGCACTGATAGTTTTAGAGTTAGGAACCAGTGTATTATCCCCTCGACTCTGTGATTGGTTTGATGGTAGAAGAATGGATTATAAGTATATCATCATCTTTTGGGGTGACTTAATGTTTGTCCTAATCATAAACAGAATTAGGGAAATTCATGGCTAGACAAATTTGGCTTAAATTTTTAAGTTTCAGTAGTAAAAATAGAACACCCTTTAAGCTCACAAGTTTAGATAAAAGGAAGTTTTCTCCTGTTTGACCTAATCTGACAATAAAGGTGGTGAAAACAAGTACCATGTAAAAGAAAGGTAGTTTGGGGACCAGCAGTTGGCGTAATGGCTATGTCACTGGACTCCCATGTAGTTGACAGCAATTGGAGTCCAGAACCTGGTGGCTTAAAACTCATGCCAGGTGTGTATGTGTGTGTGCCCAGGATCCTGAGAAGAGAATGGAGGAGAAGGGATTGCAGCATGGCCATCTCCCCTGGGGGGTGATTTCTTGCTTTCTGTCTCTCTGTCTCTCTCTGCCTGATGAGTGCATGTGCCCTATAGCAAAAACCTCTAAAAAAGAAAGAAAGAAAGAAAGGTAGTTTATTCATATCCAGACACTGAATTGAAATTAACCTACAATCAACAGAGACAGATGTAGAAAAAAAGTCCCTAAATAGTAAAAAAAAAAAAAAAAAAAAAAAAAAAAAATTTATACCCCCCCCCTCCTCCTAAA